CCTACATTCTCTAGCTCCATCATACCTCAATTTTTGCAGTTTCTATTCCAACATTCCTCAATTCCTTCATTCCGCAATTCCTACATTCTCCATCTCTATCATGCCTCAATTTTTGCATTCCCCAATTCGCACATTCCTCAGTTCCTACATTCCGCAATTCTTACATTCTCCAGCTTTATCATGCCTCGCTTTTTGCATTCTCCAATTCCCACATTCCTCAATTCCTACATTCCGCAATTCCTACATTCTCCAGTTCCATCATGCCTCAATTTTTGCATTCTCCAATTCCCACATTCCTCAATTCCTTCATTCCGCAATTCCTACATTCTCCATCTCCATCATGCCTCAATTTTTGCATTCCCCAATTCCCACATTCCTCAGTTCCTACATTCCGTAATTCCCACATTCTCCATCTCCATCATGCCTCAATTTTTGCATTCCTCAATTCCAACAATTCCAAATTTCCCCTCTTCAGACCATGAATCACCCAAACACCAGAATCCCCATATTTTCAAACCATCAATCTCCATGTTTACCCAAACTTTCCACCGCGTACATCGAATAAACACACGGATCAAAATTGCGATACATACACAGATCGATGTTTTCTCATTCAAAGCGTTCGTTTACATTCTTTCGCTCATTTTCAGCCGCTCGTTCGGGGATTGCTCAGCTTTTAACGCGTTACGACGATAATGGCGAACACGATTGCTCGCTCGCAAATATGCACGCGTTTTCCACGAGAGGGTCGAGGGTTGAACAATTTGTTTTTATTGCGATATTTATGGCTCCATTGAAACGACGCTGAAACTCCGCACGGTTCTCCCAGAAACGTTGATATAAATGGAAATCGGGTCCCGTGCGATCGTTTTGTTTAAACATTCCTATTGCATCGTCTGTCACGCTTTAACTCGCGAGATCGACGAATAAATTCATCCCCTTTGGATCTTCTTGAATTACCTGCTCATTTGCGTACCGAATACAAGTTTACGTGGTATCAGATTCTTTATTTTAACATCGATTCTTCTTTAGATGTTTATTTATGAATCTCCTAATATCTTTTTGTTTATTGACTGTATAAATAAAATAAATTAGATAGATAATTTCTTGAATAATATAAAGATATAAACATTGTAAAAAAATGTAGTAAAAATGTAAAAGTAACTGTAATTTGTCCAAACTAAAAATTACCCAATGCACTTCTACAAAACTTGAATATCTTCAATTTAAAAAATCTTGAAAAGCTGAGTCTTTGCGGGACACGTCTCCGCTCGATACGCGAGCAAAAACCTAGCCCCGTGCGTTTTATTAAAATAACGCGCAAGTCTGAAACGCAGAGACGTTACCGCCGTACACTTCGCCAGTTACATTAGCAATGTAAAGCATGCTCGAACGTTTCGAGACGAAAATACAGGTCAGAAATGGGTCAAGCAATGTCTTGAAGGGTGTTGAAAAATTCACCGGGAGGAAATAGGACTCGGTCGTTGGAGGAAAAAGGAACACCTGTCCGTTCGTTTAAAGTTGCCGGCGGGAAAGTTTATGATAGCCTGTTTGTTCGAAATCTCCCTGGAGCCCCGTTCAGAATCGTCGCGTTGGGATTGCGAAAAACGCTGCAGCCAGAAACTTCGACACGAATCGGATATACGGAACTTTTTAATGGGGATAAGGAGCAGCTTGCACGGTTGCCGTATACTCGTAATCCACGCGGTTTCATTAAAGCTGCAGTTGGGATATGCTTTGTTGATTCCGCTTAATTATAGGGTTTTTTAATATTTTTTTGAGGAAATTTACTTTTTTGACTCGTGACGCACTTGTAGTTAAAGTACGACACACCTGATAAGTTACAGGGTTAATCATATTTGATTTCATAGTATTAATTTTGTTTTTTAAGAATATTTCAATTTAAGTTTCACTCGTGACGCACTTATAGTTCAAGTATGACGCACCTGATGAATTAGAGGTTAATCAAATTTGACTTTATACTAGTAATTTCTTTTTTCTTTAAGAAAATTTAAATTTAAGTTTGATTGATGACGCACTTGCAATTCAAGTATGACGCACCTGAGAAATTAGTGGGTTATCAAATTTGATTTCATAGTATTAATTTTGTTTTTTAAGAATATTTCAATTTAAGTTTCACTCGTGACGCACTTATAGTTCAAGTATGACGCACCTGATAAATTAGAGGTTAATCAAATTTGACTTCACACTACTAATTTCTTTTTTCTTTAAGAAAATTTAAATTTAAGTTTGATTAATGACGCACTTACAATTTAAGTATGACGCACCTAATAAATTATAGCGCCATCATATTTGTCTTCATGTTACTAATTTTTTATTTAAAAAAATTCAAATTTATATTTGACTCATGACGCACTTATAGTTCAAGTATGACGCACCTGAGAAATTAGAAGGTAATTATATTTGACTTCCTGCTACTAATTTTTTTGTTTAACCAAATTTAAATTTATATTTGACTCATGACGCACTTATAGTTCAAGTATGACGCACCTGAGAAATTAGAAGGTAATTATATTTGACTTCCTGCTACTAATTTTTTTGTTTAACCAAATTTAAATTTAAGTCTGACTCATGACGCACTTATAGTTCAAGTATGACGCACCTGAGAAATTAGAAGGTAATTATATTTGACTTCCTGCTACTAATTTTTTTGTTTAACCAAATTTAAATTTATATTTGACTCATGACGCACTTATAGTTCAAGTATGACGCACCGAAAAAATACTTTACTCAAAGTACCATCGCTAGCTATACATTTTTGACTCGTGACGCACCGCAGTTCAAATATGACGCACCCGATAAATAAATTATACGGCAATCACATTTGACTTCGTGCTACTAATTTTTTTTTAAGAAAACAATTTGAATTTCCGGGGAAAAAATGCTTTATTCAAAGTACCATCGCTAGACATTCCCATCTGCCCTTCAAATTGTGCCCTCCCAAAAAATTCTTCACGTTTCGAGAGAAACCAGCCATCCGCCATTTTTCGACATCTTAACTGTTGAAGTGTTCCTGGAAACGTGAGCCATTGATGAAAACGAGTGGTACGAAAGGGCCAAGTCTGGTGAGTATGGCGAGTGGGGCAAGAGTCCAACCAAGTGCAGAAATTGTGCCTTTAACCGTTTTCTGTGCGTGATGCGGCGTTGTGTTGCAAAATCACTTTTCCGTGTCTTCTAGTACAATCTGGACGCTTTTCGATCTATGCGTGGTTCAAACTGATTATTCGTTGACGGTAGCGATCGGTATTAACTGTTTTCGCGTGGTTTCATGATACACGACACCCTGATCCAAATGCATAGTTGTCTTCCTTCGGAAGTGATTCTTGCGGTCGATGGTTGTTTCAACCCATCACTTTTTGCGTTTTGGATACCAAAGTCAAACCAAAGCACCTGTTTCATGCTCTATTTCAATATTAATAAATTCTATTCATCCTCCAGTATTTTACTGTAACACAAAATTGATATCCAACTATTCCTTCCTAACTGTCCCCAGGATCTTTATGCACTTCGTGTCCACATCAGTTCGGACTTCACAGTCCAGTTTTTCCGCAGCATTCGTGTCTATCCGAGCCAATCGATACTTCGTAGCATCTTCCGTACAATAAAGGGAATAGCGAACGGATCAGACGGTAGCACGAAAACTCCGAAGGTTCACATGGACAGTACTAGATAATTCAAATTGTTGGAAGAGGAATGTAGTAAAGGCGAGAGAACCGAAGGATTCGCGTGATAGCAAGCAGTCAGAGAGGCAGATCTAGGTTGGTTGGTCGATGCTCACTGGCTTCTCCACTTTCGTGCAATCGATGTGCTCGTCTATCAAGATGTGCAGCCGGCTTCAACTTGTATGGCCGATTTAAAGGGTCTAAAGCGACGGACCGAATTGGCTCTGAAGGCCTCGAATATGAGAAACTCTGGATTCTTGTCTCTTTTGCTGAGGCGAGGACAATTTCACTGACACATTTTAAACCCATCACTATTTTGTATTATTTTCTCAAAGTATTACTGTGCAGCTCGATGCAGAATATCGACCTTTAAAGTCTTAATAAAAATGAAAACTTATCATTTCACAAACTGTTATAACTTGCAAGTATTCATATTTTCAAGATAGTAAATTTCCAAATCAAAACACAAATTTACAATTAAAAAATTTATGAAGTTGACAATTTAAAATTCTCCATACTTGAAGATCTTTCTTGTCGCCATTTTCTTTTGTATGTCGCCTCTCATGCTGTACCATAACGACAACCTCTTAAGACCCCTAATTAACCGCCCCTAATTTACAACCCCTCACACCTTGAAACCCCCAGACTCCGATTTAACACAATGTCGGTTAATCCCCCTGAATTTAAACAGAAACAAATGTACAATTTCATACGGAATGAAGTGTAATCCCGTTGCAGATCAGCATAAAATGGCGCACGGGTTCTGTCAACGAAATGAACGACATCGTCCTGATAATTAACGTGTTTAAATAAATCCTAGCTTCGTTACAGCGAAACGAGGACGTTTTGATTTGATCAACGCCCACGAAGAATCGTCTCGATTGCGCATCGACGGGGCTTTATTAATATTCTCTCACGCTTTATCTCGGCGTAATTACGTACGGGAAAATATTTATCGAACTAATTAACGGGATTAAAAATATCTGGAGAATCAGAGCGGCGGTAAATACGAGTTTATTCGCTGCAAATATTCGGACTGCTCGCGCGTTGATTATATTGAAATTGAAATTATCATATCGACTCGTCAATGGATGCGCGGTGTCATTATTTGATTATGTTGTTGAAGATATTAGTGGAATAAAATAAGAATATGTGTACGAGTAGAAGTACAAGAATATTTTATTCACCTATACACGCGCGATAGCGTATTGTATAGGTTTAATACATCACTGAGAAAATTCTGTTAAAAATTTCTTATTATGTTCTTACAAATGAAGGAGTAAGTTTTAGTAATTAAGGTTAATTTATGATTCACAGGCACTTCGATACGACAGCCAACGAAGAGCTGGAGAGCCGAGCACAAAGCTGCGAGGACGCTCGGAATAATAATGGGCGCGTTCCTCCTCTGTTGGCTGCCATTTTTCCTTTGGTAAGCAGACACGAACATTCACTTTTTGTGTAATCTTAAGTATAAAGGAACACCTTAATAGTGGAATATTTCAGTTAAACCGTGTAGAATTCCTTTATGAAAATATTCGTTATTGTTGCGAGCGAAGTTTCCAACGATATTTCAATTTGTATAAGTATTGTTGCAATTATAATATATTGTACATAGAAATGTAGAGTTTGAGTTATAGAAAATAATTACATTTAATAATATTTGTCATATCAAACATGTTCAAATGCAAACAAGTAACTCATACCCATCACTACCAACATAGTTTTACATAAAATTCAGGGAGAATAAACTAACAATAACAGCTCAGAATATAAAACTAATTCAGAAAGTATAAATTTCAAATCAAACATGTTCAAATGCAAACAAGCAACTCATACCCATCACTACCAACACAATCTCACATAAAATATCCTTCCACAAAATTCAGAAACAAACTAACAATAAAAATTCACCAAAAATAATTCACAAAGAATAATATTCAAAACGAATATATTACAATTCTAAAATAAATAGTAACCTTTCTAAAACACATTGCAATCTCTCCAAAGGTATTTCACCAGCAGAAACATTTCTTTTCCTTCGCTCCCAAGCATCCAAGACATGAAAAGCATCCGATCAGCTCCATCGAGCACATTGAATCCTCACCGATCTTTCACCATTTCCCCAATCCCAAATGTTCGAAGTTTTCGCAAAAACCGCAGTGAAATTCGGACGATTTCGTTCGCAAGCTGTTCTCGTTCCATCGACGTGGACTTTCCTGAGTCGTTGAATACGCGCGAAAGCTGAGCCAGCCGCATGTTTTATTAATGCAAAGCCGAGTGCATCTCGTTGAGTTTGCTGAGAGTTTAGTCCGCCTCGGTCGGCCCTCGTAGTTCAACTATTTGCCTGACTAAGCGATGCGGTCGCAGTTGCCGGGCAAATGGCACTGCCTTCTTATAGCGGCGATATAATAAGGCGGAAAGTTCGTACACGACGAAGTGGTAGTTCATTCGGGACTTACAGGTGTCGGACACTTGATGCACGACGATATGATCTTTTGGTGGCCATCTTGAATTATGATATTTTCTAGAAACCTTATATTTAGCTTATGTATCAAACTTATATACCTTATATCTAGCTTATTTATGTATCTAATATCTAGCTTGTATATCTAACTTATATATATGAGTAGGTTTGTTCTTTACTACTTTCTTAATACAACTGAATACTAATTTTGGTAATTTAAAATAACTATCACACAACGAACATGTCAGTGACGTTGCAAAAATGTAAGGTTAAACTTAATGTTAAATTAAAGTAGTATATTATTGATTATATTCAGGGTGTCTCTAGAGATTCCTGAAATGGGGAGTAACTGACGTGATTCTGAATAAGATTTCCCTTTGCAAAAATGGGGTAGGAAGCTTCGTTTTTGAATTATTAAGGAAAAACGCGGACCAATCAGAGCGCGAGGATTGCGCATGCGCAGACGCGAGAGCGACAGCTTCGAGCCTAGTGGCTGAGCGCG